CGATTATAAATCGATCTTTGACTTATATGCACAAGTTTCCCTGTACCAGATATCCTGATGCACTCTTCGATGCTCGAAGAAGGTGTTCATAAGGGACAGTTTGCTGCTTTCACCAAATCGCAGCAACTTCGTGCCCATATTTTTGAGATCACTAGGGCCGTTCTTTCCAAACACTCGTTTCCACTTGAGAGTGTTTGCTCTGACATATGTATTGAAATCTTCCATTAGAATGATGGATTCCGTAGTCGGCATTTCGTACAGAACACTTTCTGCTTTCTGCAGGAAGGAATCGTATTCCTCTGACTTGGATGCATAGGCCTTTAACCTTTTATTTGGATGATTGCCACTAAGTGAAGAGATGATCGAATTTCTGGCTATTACTTCCCACGCTTAGAATCGTTCACTCGAAACTTTATTGTACTGTCTGCCTCCTCTGTTCAATATGCATAACGGCTCTTTTGCTGACTGGTATATTCGTATCCTGCTTTTCGATCTTTCCTTGCTGCTACACCCGAAGTGAAAGATCGAAAAGTGCAAGAGGGTGTGCAGTTTGTTCTGATCGCTGACTTTTTGTAGTCTGCCTCAATTCCCTAACAGCACTTAATAAACCGAAGGAGGACCGAGCCGGCATAACTTTCGCTAACAGAAGTATCATGACGGAAATGCGGCTAACTTTTACGGGAATCTCGCCATGGTCTCTAATCTGCTTCTAGTCTCATCCTAGATTGGGAGTGCCAACGGCGGAGCCGTCATTACCAGTTTATATGATATAATTTACAACGCTTTGCTTTTGAACCCAGGAATATAACCTGTTAAATAACCTACTAAACCACTGCATCATTGCCACCTCCTCCCAGAAACGGATATTTGTAACGAGGTCAAAGTTCATAGCAGATTAATGTTTTAAACAAATCAATGAATGCAGATTCCCTCTCAAAAACCCAACCTTGTCGACAATCCCGTGCAACGGCAATTTCGTACAACGTAGTTTTGTGAAGGGAGTCACGCAACAGTCAGTCAGCCTTGGAACGAACGGTTAACAAGGACTTGCTGTCTGCAAATGACCAAGCACAC